TTACGGCATCGGCGGGTAGGCGGTTCCACAGGTTTACAACTCTATGGGTGAAAAAGCATCTCCTTTTCTGTCCTAAATTGTGTAGTTTGTTGAGCTTGAACCCGTTGCTCCTCGTTCGTCTTGCATCTGACCCTTTGAAGAAATTGACCGGATCGACATCCTCCAAATTGTTCGGTATTGTAAAGGTTTCGATGATTGATTGTTGCCGCCGAAGGCGGCTTTATTGTGCACTCCATACTCATCTTGTGAGCGGTAGCGCAAAAGCATTACAGAGGGCACAAAAGGTCTTTATCAGACCTCATCTTAGATTATTACATAAACAATTTCTTCTATCCTTCACACCTTATAGTTACAATGTCAGCTAAGATCCGCCGTGTCATGCCTGGTCTGCAGTGTTAGCCCAGTGGCCTTCAACCCTTCCTGATACGAGAGGGAGAGCTCTGGTATGATTTTTGTTGCCCGGTGTTGCACCGTCTCCAGAGCAGCTGTGTCTTTCTCAAGATGAGGTGTCCAGGCTTGGATGTAATAATCCAGGTGGGAGCGCACCACAGACTTATGCAATTGACCGACTACTTCAGTTGTAGTTCGAATCCGCCCGGGATTCGAACCCTAAATTATGAGTCGAGAAGAGACCCGACTGTACTACTGGGACTCTATTACATCCATTACAATCCAGCAGGTCCAGAACTTCCCGCAAGAACTTATCGTGTTGTTACTTTAACACGTCCACTCTTGTTCTGGAACATTTCGTATATTGGAAGGATATTAAAGAGTCGTGAACCTCTCATACTCAAAGTGTTGTCCGAGTGTGCTTATGGCACCTCTACTCTTCACTGGCTCTATTCTGCATTTCTATCCGTATCTTTTGTTTCACTATGTTATTTTGCTGTGTATATTAGAGTCGTGGCCTTTCAGTATCTTCTCTCCGAAATTAGTTTTGCTGGGCTACCTCTGCTTGCAATGGCTGATTACTCACGGTGGCCTTCAGTAGGGTAAAATATGCTTAGAGTAACAAACAGAAGACAAGTAAATTATGGTAGATTAGTGGTCATGTGTAACTCAACCTGTTTGACAGGGAGTTAGTCTCGGGTCCATCAATATTTATATGATGAAGTTCTCTCACATAAATGTCTCCCATGAATGTGACAACCAACTTGACATGATGGAAGGGACAAGTGTAAGAGGAGGGCAAGAGTGGTCTGGCCTTGTGGTAGTGCGCTTGTAAACATGATAACCCAAGTATCAGGGGAAAGTGTCAAGCCATTACAACACTATATAGCACCCAGCTGGGAAAGTGAAGGACAAATGTTTGCATCACAATAAGATAACAGTGTTTTCAAGGAGCATCTCGAGATAATAGTGACCAACGAAACCCTTATATATATATATATATATATATATATATATATATATATATATATATATATATATATATATATATATATATATATATATATATATTATATATATATATATATTATATATATACACAACTACAACGAGTATTATACAAAATTAGGCATGTATTATTCCTGCACGGGCCCTAAGCCTCTGGCTGGCCCACTAAGTGTTGCTTGTTTCTGTTTTACTTGGGCGGAGTGTGAGTATTTATGACTCGTATGGTCGCTTCAGTAAGATTTTGTCCCATGTGTTTAACAACAACTTCTGCTCTGTTGATTCTAAGTTGAAATCTTAATGGGTTTGTAACTGTGCACTGTGTTAGATAATGTCCCAGTGGTCTGTCGGGCATTTCTCCACAGTGCTGACATTTCCTCTCATCTTCCGGAACCTGTAAGCCTATTTCCCATGCACATGGGTATCCAATGCTGATGCGATGTAAGTGTACTTCTGTTGTTCTACTTCTCCCTTTCATCAAACTAAGTGGTTCGTAGTTGGTTGAATTCTTGTACCAACTCGCAGATCCTGATGTTGCAACTGCTGTGTTGTGGTCACTGTACATCATCTGCATTGCTCTATTTCTAATTACTTTCTTAACCTGTGATAGACTCTGTGGTATATAAATGTCTACATTTTTTCGCTTGGTTGCAAGTTTTGCAGCTTCGTCTGCAATGTTATTTCCTATTATTCCCACATGACTTGGCACCCAGCTGATAAGTACCCGACGGCCTTGACGTTCGAGTGTTTGCTTTAATGATGTGACATTTATCAGATGGATGTTATCACATATGTGTTCTTGTTGCAAGGTTTCAATGGCGGTTCTCGAATCTGTACGATAACATGTCTGTGTTCAGCAAGAGCATGTTCCAAAGCCTTTTGAATGGCTAGCATTTCTGTTTGTAAAGTTGAACACCCGTTTGAGAGTCTGCAACTATTTACAGTTTCCTGCCTTAACTGCAGCTCCGGTTTCTTGTCCCTGCTGATCTACTGATCCATCTAAGGTGACATGCCATGATGATACATGCCATGGTGACATCCCATGGTGACACATCCCATGGTGACACATCCCATGGTGACACATCCCATGGTGACACATGCCATGGTGATACATACCATGGTGACACATGCCATGGTGATACATACCCCACACCATGACATGTGCCGTGGTGACATGTGCCGTGGTGACATGTGTCATGGTGACACGCACCATGGTGCACCACAACCTCATGTTTAGATAGTACTTATTGTAACTATGTGCACCATAGTACAAACATTGAATTCAAGGCCAATTAAATATAATTTGGTACTATTTACTTAATAAGTGTTCGAAAAATACAATTAAAAACAAACTTGAATATTCCTAAGCCTATTATAGCACATATATGTACTATATTAGGCCTCAGATAGCGTGTATTAGGCCTAGGAATATTAGGTTAGTTTAGGTTGTCTTTGCAACATGAATACAAAAATCTTTTCCGATTTGTCCAAATTCAATAGTAACGATTTCTACTTTATGATTGTCCATTAAATCATATATGTACTATGGTCCTCGACGTTACTGTGAGTACTAACTAAACAGGAGGACGGGCTGCATGGTCACACATGCCATATAATAATAATAATAATTTTTATTGGCAAGAAGGGACAATTGGGTTATCTTGAGGTTATCTGGAGATTATTTCGGGGCTTTAGTGTCCCCGCGGCCCGGTCCTCCACCCCCAGGAAGCAGCCCGTGACAGCTGACTAACACCCAGGTACCTATTTTACTGCTAGGTAACAGGGGCATAGGGTGAAAGAAACTCTGCCCATTGTTTCTCGCCGGCGCCAGGGATCGAACCCAGGACCACAGGATCACAAGTCCAGCGTGCTGTCCGCTCGGCCGACCGGCTCCCTGTACTCCCTGTACCCTCCCTCCCTGGTTGTGAGATTAAATAACACTGGTATGTTTTAACTCGGCCAGCTTAGAAGAGTAAACTTTCCATTAACGTGTTTCATAACGTTTTGAAACTTTATGAGAATTTCCTGCCCACCTAACCTTCAGAGGACCCTTAACTTACTGTTGTTGAAAATAAACAAATTTATATTAATTTTTTGTTTCATTTTCAAATTACGTTCATATTCGGCCATACGGACAAACGGTCAAAAGTGACGTTCTTTTTAAGAGGACAGGTTGCCCACAAAGCCACTAACAGGCATAGCGTCTCGGCAGGTCCTTAATCATTAGTCCTTAATGATGTATCTCATAGTGACACATGCCACATACCATGACATGCGCCATGATAATACATCCCATGGTGACACGTACCATGATAGCATGGCTATCTTAAGATAAACAACCTGGAGGTTATCCACAACTCTCAAGAGCACGACCCAGCTTCGCCAAGTAGCACAGTGCAAGTCTCCAAGATAAAATACTGGCTTACTACGCCGAGTACAAAATATGATCTCCGAAGCCACTCTCTATGGATAACTACATACTTGACGGTCACATCACAGTTTGGATATTAACCTTTCTTGACTGGATTTCAACGTTATTGACGGCAAGTACATGCACTCTACCATACTAAGTGTGTAAAGGAGGAATGTATATGTTTATCTCTCAGAATGTTCGGTAATATGTTTATTGTTTGTGATGTGTGTCTATGAATGTATTAACACGATGTACTAAACGGGGTGAGAATAGCTTGAGCTACCTCATCCCTTTGTGTGTGTATTATACCTCAATAAACTTATTTCAATTTCAATTTCAGTACATGCACTCAGTTTTGGGACCCAATTCTCAGCTTCAATACTATATAACAGATACCAAACTATACAAAATAGTATTGGACATAATTCATAATAATACATTGCGGCGGGGAAAAGTTGACGGTGTATACAGTACACTGATGTTTTTTTGGAGGGGGGGGGGGGGAGTAAAGAGGATGGAGAGGCAAAGGTGAAGGGAAGTTTAGAAGTGGGAAATACAGTGTGTTATGAAAGCAGGCGAGCTGTCCGCCTTGCTGACACGATGTGTGGGTGAAGGGGTTTCTGGTCAATATTTCACCTGGGAATTATGTACTGTGGAGCGGGGTTTTCATCTAGTGAATTGAGGCTCTTGGGCCACCAGCTGTGGGAGCGGGGCGTCTCATCTTGGAGTAATCTTTCTAAAAAAACATTGGGTCCTCTAACATTTCGATGGTGTTCCACACCCTGATGGCTTGGTGCTGCAGTCTGATGTTTAGTGGCTGTATGTTCAGTTCATGGAGTTCCTGGATTGTCTGGTCATATGGTGGACGGTGTTTTGCTGCTCTCCTTAGTGCCTTATATACAGTACATGTTAAGCTTATATCAAGGTCTCCCCCCCCCCCAAGATGCAACCACACAAGCTGGCGAATCGGGACATTAGAAGGGATCACGCCCAATCATTTCTGTCCCGCCTGGGATTCGAACCCCGAATTCCCGATTATGAGTCGAGAAAGAACCCGACTGAACTCCCAGGAAAAATTAAATGAATAGTTTGCCTGTTACAGGAGTCTTTCACTAACACGGTGGAGACTAAGAGGGTAACATTAGCCCAGGCGTTAATACAGTAGTGTTTAGTGGGAGGAAGAGTACTGTACCTTAGGAGCATTCTTGCGACTGTTGAGGGCAAACTGCATGTCTCGCATCATCATGAAGAGCGGGAGGCCGGCCTGAGGCGCGGGGAGGCAGCAGTGGCGGGCCGTGCGGCTGGTGGGGGTCGAGCCACTAATGACCGCGCAACACGATGCTCTACCACTTTATCTTCTCTACTGATACTGTATATATTATACGCCCGCTATCTTATATAACCCTTCCACACCTGCTTCTGTAGCACCACCTCTTGACCACACCACCACCACCACCACCACCCATGCACACTCCTCACCCAGCCACCTCACCCAACAACACACATATAAGGGAGTTTCATATTACAGGCATAATATTAACAATGGTTAACGTTGCTCATATGGTAAGGATGTCAGCCAAATTTGAGGTACAGTGGGAATAATTTAAGAGGTGGCATAGTCTGAATGCTTTTGAAATTTTATTCCAGTTCATATAAAGTCAGTGCTCATATTACATCAGTGTTCACAGTAGAAGGATTGAATGACATTCCATCACCAACACAAATGTTTAAAGGAGGTAAAGAGAATGAATTAAGGGATATATTTATAATATGCGACACAGTCAGGAGCAGCACTCACAAACTAAAAGACTCAAAAGCCCCAGGTGTGCATGGAATTTAATCCAAAGTCTTGTCTTTCAGAACTGAAAGACAAGAGCTATGAGAAGAGGTTTAGAGGCATTAAATATGCCAAAACTAGAAGACAGAAGAAAAGGAGGCTAAATGATTACTACATACAAAATAGTAACGGGAAATGACAAAAATTGAGAGAGAAGAATTCCCGAGACCTGGAACTTCTAGAACAAGGTCGTAAATTTAAACTAACTAAACAAAGCTGCCGAAGACATATAAGAACTCATTTTCGCAGAGAGGTAAACGGTTATAACAATTTAGGGGGCCCGGGAGTTCAAAAATATTCCTCCAAATATGAAATATAGTGAAAACTGTTAAACAAACCTCACATTATTTGGCATTAGCGTCGTGAAAATTTCGTCCCAATATGATAAGAAATGGATTTTATACGAATTTAAAAAACAAAATACTATGTGCGCATCAAGTACCCAGTACTGATGATGATAACACCTCTTAGTGGAACTCATGGATAATGCAGTGATTAAAAGATGTAAGCACCTGTCTCATGCACAAAGATGATGACTTGAAGTGAGGAGGGTCCTCAAAGTTGATATCAGCACATAAGAATAAAGGTAACTGCAGAAGGCAAAGCAAAGACAAATCCTAGAGAGAGTAGAATATCACCAGAAGAAACACAAAATGGACATTGTGCAAGAAGCATATGCTGTGCTCTCCAACTTTAGAATCACTTTTAATTACATGGACTGTGAAATACTAAAGAAACTGTTCATGACTTTTGTGAGACCAAATTTGGAATATGCAGCAGTTGTATGGTGCCCATATCTCAAGAAGCACATCATCAATAAACTGGAAAAGGTGCAAAGGCATGCTACAAAATGACTTCCAGACCGGAAAAACAAGAGTTATGAAGAGAAGCTAGAAGCGTTAAATATACCAATGCTAGAATATGGAAGAAAAAGAGGTGATATGATCACCACTTACAAAATACAGTAATGGGAATTGACCAAACTGACAACGAGGAATTCCTGAAACCGACAACCTCAAGAACAAAAGGTCATAGATTCAAGCTGAGGAAATAAAGGTGCCAAAAAAATATAATTAAGTTTTTTGCTATCAGAGTAGTAGACAGTTGGAACAAGTTAAGTGAGAAAGTTGTGAAGGCCAAAACTGTCAGTAGTTTCAAAGCATTATGTAACAAAGAGTACTGTACTTGCTCTGCCAAACAGGATTCGTGCAGGATACAGTGGAGCCTCGATTTACAAATTTAATCCGTTCCCAAAGATGGGTCGTAAGTCGAAACAAATTTTTCCATAAGAAATAATGTAAATTGAATTAATCCGTTCCACACCCCAAAAAAATATTAACTTAAAAATACATTTTATACCAAATACAACTTTTTTTTCTAGCTACAATACAGTATGTTTATCTTACCTTTATTGAGGACTCTTGTTGACATCAGGCAGTGATGACTTCTCTGGGATACACACACTCCTACGTTTTGCCTGCATACCATTAAGACCTGGTTGTGATTCACTGCTTGTTTGTTGCACTAAAAACCTTTCCATATGGCTATGTTTTTCCATACGTTTTAATTTTTTCTGTAGTGAGGCATCACAGTGTCATTAAAAAGGTTAAGGCAATGGCCTACTGCACCATGATTTGGGCGAGTCGTTTCAGTTACACCATCTTCATGTTTACGAATGATCTGTTTTTGCTCAATGGTCATCCTCACATGTGTTTTCTTAAGTTGCACCTTACCACTGACTTTCTTGGGACCCATGGCATAATATAATAATTAGTTTTATGTTCAAAATACAAAAAACACCAAAATAATGGAATTCTTTACAAGTGCGATCGTCACTAAGTGGGAAACTCTGGTAAACTGAGGTGGGTCGACCCGTGATACCAGGAACCACTCGCTTGGTCGACCCAAATGCGTATCAACAAAGGTCGTTAGTCGAGGGCACGGTCGTAAGTCAAGTCACATTTTCCAACAAAATTTAGGTCGTAACTCAAAATATTCGTAAGCAGGGGCAGTCTTAAGTCGAGGTGTCACTGTACAACCAAAAGTATCCACAGTATTTTCAGCTAAGTGAACTAGTGTGTAGTATAAAGTAGATTTTATATGGTACTAAACACACTATTAATGCAACAACCAATACAGAAAATGAAATAAGTATACAGTATATGCATAGAAATAAATAAATAAATACATACGGAACATATTTTGGGTGAGTAGCCCCCATTGGTGTGATAATGTAGACAAACAGTCTTGCTGCAGAATCAGAATAAGCCTCTCAGTATCCATAAAGTAAGTAAACATTAACTTAAGTGTAGAGAAATGGGGGAAAGCTATGATAAGTGTGGCGTGTGTCACTGTTCTGTAGGGCCCAGGACAAAACGGGGTATCGAATGTGCAGGTTGCAAATTAATATACCACTGCACCTGTCTTAAAATCTCAGATGCCTTGTGTGAGGGCCATATTATAATGTGAAAACTGAAAGTAATGGCCTCATTTACATTTATTGCATCACTTGCAATGATAAACTTAGGAAACAGCAGAAACAATGAAAATAAAGGTGAAGCAAATGAAAAGAATAAAGATGAATCAGTAGAAGAGGTTAGGACTAGGGAAGAGTCAAGTGTGGTGAAAAATGATGGATCTTTAAATGAGATAGTTGGGGAAGTAATCAATGTGCACAGACACACAAAACTAAAGGAATGGATTGAAAGCCACAAAGGGATGAAAGAGTTGCAGGGGCAACAGAAGGTTTTGATGAAAGAAGTTATAGACCTTAAAAAAACATTAGATGCTACACATTTGGACAGGCCCTGGGCCAGCCAGGCATCCCCAGGGGGGTAATCAGACATTCGAGGGGAATTCGGCAAATGCAGGCAGAGTTCTGGATAGAGATGCAGAAATCATGCATAGGCATAGACAAAAATACCTCATTAAATGAAACCTTGCAAAAGAGGACAAGAATGACAAGGCATTGTTAGAGAAACTGATAAGCAAAGTGGACTTGAGTATATTAGATGTCGGGAGGTTGGGTAGCCTGGAAGCAAATATGGTAAGAATAACCATTGCAAATTTTGAGCACAGAAGGAACATACTAAACCATACCCACAAAGATCTTGAGGGCTATAACCAAGTAGTGACACCTCGGCTTACGAATGCCCCTCTTTACGCACTTTTCAGGTTAAGAGTCCAATTTCTTCATAAAATCTGAATCTAGTTACGAACTTTGCCTCGGGAAATGTAATTTGTTGATATGCGTATGGCTGACCTAGCGTGTGGTGGCACAGTGACCGCACCTCAGTTTACCAGTGCCTCCCGCCTAGTAACAATCGCACCTGAATTCTTTGTAAAGAATTTCATTTTTTTTTGGGGGAGGGGGGCATTTGAACATAAAAGTTATTATTATATACAGTATCTCACTATGGGTCCCAAGAAAGCCAGTGGTAAAGTTCAAGCCTAGAAAACACATGTGAGAATGACCATAGAGGAAAAACAAAGAGATCATTCGGAAGCATGAAAATGGTACTCATGTTGTTGAACTAGCTAGGCAGTACAACAAATCTGTCAACGATATACACTGTAATTGCTAAGAAAAGGACATTATGAGTGCTAACGTGGCAAAAGGCAAATCAACAATCACAAAACAAAGAACACAAACACTTGAGGATATTGAAAAGTTGTTATTAATTTGGATAAACAACAAGGAGTTACCAGGTGATAGCATTTCAGAGGCCATCATTTGTGAGAAAGCAAGGCAATTGCATGAAGACCTTTTAAAGAAAACCCCTGGAACGAGTGATGCAGATACGAGAGAGTTTAAGGCAAGCAGGGGATGGTTTGCGAAATTTAGAAAAAGAAGTGGTATTCATAGTATTGTGAGGCATAGGGAGGCTGCCAGCTAGACAAACCAGCGGCTGAAAGATTTATTGACGAATTTAAAGATTTTGTAGAGTGAGGGATACCTACCACAACAACTGTTTAATTGTGACGCGACAGGACTATTCTGGAAATGATTTCCTAAGAGGACATACATTACCCAGGAGGAGAAGACATTGCCCGGACACAAGCCTATGAAAGATAGGCTAACTCTTGTGTTGTGTGGGGTAATGTGAGTGGTGATTTGAAAATTAAACCCTTGCTTGAGTGTCATTCTGAAAATACAAGGGTTTTCAAAAAATATAATGTACAGAAAAGCCAAATGTGTGTGATGTGGAAGGCTAATAGTGAGGCCTGGGTGACAAGGCAATTTTTTACGGAGTGGGTGAATGAGGTGGTTTGCCCTGCCATAAAAAATATCAGCAGGAGAAACGTTTGCCAATCAAGGCCGTGCTTCTCCTCAATGCTCCTATTCATCCTCCATGCTTGGAGGATGCATTGTTGGACAAATTTAATTTTGTTACAATAAAGTTCCTTCCTTTCTAACACCACTCCTCTAATTCAGCCTATGGATCAGAAAATCATATCCAATTTTAAGAAACTTTATAAAAGGGCACTTTTCTGGAAATGTTTTGAAGTGACTGATTCTACACA